TCCCTGTGGGTCCCTTCCAACTCAGGATATTCTATAATCCTCTATAATCTTCTTCTGTAGTAATCTAACAAACAGAAATTTCTCACTTCCCCAACCCAGACGGTTTATCAAATATTAAAGTCACTAAATCCATATGTAGAAATAGTACTTCAAGCAGCAAGGGACACCAAAATATCTCTGCTGAACAAATTATCAGAGATATCCTCAGGGATCAGGAAATTTAAAAAAAAAAAAACAAAACACTTAGAAACTGAATCCTATACAGTTGTCAGGCAACTGAGAACAAAAACAGGATCCAAGAAATTCAGTAAAACTTGTCAGGACAAAATGATCTCAAAACTTCTCACTCTTTTCCAGCATGCCTAGTGTTTTCCAACTCTCTGTCCATAACAGAGGCAGCACTGCCCTGGAACAACACACACATAGTGGCTTGGCCGCTTCAGCTTCTGAAGCACACTATAAGCTTAAAGCTGTTCATACTCAGGGGAAGAGAATCAAATTAAGCTCATCAGTACAGAGATCTGGAAAGGAACATTACAAGTGATGCTGCTGAACACAAAAGATGAAGGAGTAACACTGTTTCCCATCAATCCAAGATGAATGCTGCTATTAACTGCTGTGTTACCTGCTCTCAAATAGCACTACCATGCTCATAATTTTTATAGACCTGTATGTGACCTCCTGCAGCACTAAAGGTGACCAAAGCCATATAAAAACCAGGAGCAGGGCAAAGCAGGCTAAAGCCTCATTCGGTGAGAATTATCACAGTACCAATCAAAGCCACCGAGGTGCTACAATAAACACTACCAAAAGGATCTGACACACAGCTTCCAAACTCACTGGTGCCCCCCTGCAGCCACCAAACCCATTGATATCTGTGAATTCTGGTTTATTGGCTTGACACATAGCATTAAGTTCAGCTAATAAAACAAATCCAGTTCCAGCGTGTGAGCACTTTCTTTTGTTTTGGTAAGGAAATGACTGAATTCTCTGTTACAAAACAGCTGCACCTATAAATGGTTTGATCACTTGTTTTATTGCTGTTTGACCATCATCCTCACACAGTTGATCTTTATGGCATAATTAGAGAAGGAAGTGGATGGCAAACCACTTCATTGCCGCTCACCAGAACCACCCCCCTTGCTTCCACTAATAAACGTAAAGACAGGGAACCCTCTATGTCCTATCTGTACATGTTTCAGTAATGGCAGGAACATGCTTACAGGTCTACCTGTGGCTCCTGAACATCAAACCTTGACTAAAGCCCAAGTTACACTGCCTTGCTTCATTAAGCCATAGGACTAAAAACAGATGGGAACCAGGCATACAGCTTCAGCTAACAGTAAATGTCTCCTTGTTATTCAAGGAAGAACAGGAAAGAAGGAACCAAAAATAAAGAACAAACTGTAATCTTACAAATATAACCCTTCGCTAAGATCCAATTGTTCAGTCCTTTCCTAAGGTAACACACTATAAGTCTGGTCACTCAAATATTGAACCCACTAACGTTAGTAAAGACAAAAGTGAAAACAGCCTTTACATGAGACCGAAACTACACTGTAAATTTGCTGGAGAGTAAACAAGGACACATACATAACAGACTTACTGGAATATGTGGCAAAGTGATTGTAACGTCATCTCCTTTACCCACTTGGAGGTCCCCCTCACAAGATGTATCAATTGATGCTGGCTTAAAATCATCTGAAGAGGAAAACAATTGTGATTACATTTCTTAGAGTCTTCAGAAGCGTCATCTTGCCCTGCAGAGAGCCACCATACACTTAACTGTGATTATAGGGAACGCTATAATACACATTAGTGTTTACAGCAGGGGTGGAATAACACACCAGGACACTGCGTCCACACGTAGCGCCCCAGTCATATGATGGTACCATATTCTGAACTTCCCTTTTAAAATGGAACAAAGGTTTTAGACCTTGTGTTTGAAGACTAAAAGTAGACTTCTCCAAACCCCAGGCTTTGAGTGGCACTTAGTTTTGCAGGCAAGTGTAAAACTGTATCATGCATCTCAAGAGTATCAACTTCCCAGACCTGGGCTCTGCATGGCTCTTGCCAATTCCAAACCTGAGGGCTCTCTCTGTGACAAACACTACTTTAGTGACACCAATTCATTTAGCCTCGCTGATATTTCCGGCTATTTAACAGCCTCCACAATAGCAGCAAAAGTTCCACAAGGGTGGAGGCGACCTCAGATCTCACTTAAGGGGGGAAAAAAGAGGCGCTGATCTTAATTCAGCAGTCTCCATGTTAGTCCAAAGCCACTGTGGATAAAAAGCATGACAAAAGGGAGGCATGACAAAAGGCTTTAAACTAACACTCATTTTAAGTATTTTTGCTCTGTTGTATAAAATGCTTTGTCTCCCCATCAAGGGACTTCTGTTTAATATATTCATTTCAACTAAGAACATGTTAAGTTAAAAGTATTTTCCCCTCATTATTCTGTTGTGCTAATGAGCCATAAAAAAAAGAAAAAAACTATCAGAACCTCTAATATTCTGACAGAGGATTTAGACAAAGTGAAATAATTTCAGACAGACACAGGTTGGTTTGTTTTGTTTGTTTTTAAAAGAATCCTCCATTCAATTATAGCATCCTTGTATATGAAGAGGTGCAATTATATTCATGATCAAGGCTTTTAATTACTGCGTTGGTTACGAAATTATTACCTCAGAACAAATTTAAAATATAATTCCACTATGAAAAACACATTTGCAGAAAAAAACCCCAACCCTGGCTCATAATAAATTCTCATTAAGAGGATGTTAATGTTTAATTGAGTTTTACTTTGACAGCACAACAAGCGGAATCAGACACACTTGACTTAATCCTCATGCCTTAACTGCCAGATCAAATCATAGCCTTCATTTTCATCTGAGCAATCTGTTTCTAGCTATTGTTTCCCACCTACTTTATGTGCAAGCTTGCTAAATAAAACAAACCAGCTGCACAAGAGCTAGTGTCTTTGCCAAAACCGGATCAAGAATTTCAACAGCACAGTTACTAACTTAAAAGGAATATCGCTATCACACTTCTTTCTTAGGTACAGCAAAACAAAGTTACTTTAAACAAACACTCAAAAAATTGTTTTCATTTTGTTAGCTTATTAGGGCCATATGCTTGGTTAACCTTGGTGTAGATTGAATGCACATACTTCCCTCCAAATGTTAACCCACAGTCCTTTTTCCAAAAGTCAATTGTTTTTAAGAGGTGTTTTCCAAGGACAATCCAGTTTCTCAGTACAGTATTTCATAAATTTTACAGAAAGGAATGAAGTTTTTTAAGAAGGCCAAAAAAAATTTAGCCTACAAAATCCTCTTCATTATGGTTTGCGTGAAGAGGATTATGGGAACAATGTTTGGATCCCAGATAAATCATTCCAGAACAACAGTTCGGAAAAAAGAATTATAACTAGGCAATAAAGAGATCTCACTTCAAAGTCACAGATGGAAAATAGAGTACATAGAAAGATCCTTTGAAATAAAACTGCATTCTTTCAGTTGCAGTCTGAAGAGCTTTGGCTTTGCAATCCCTTAGGAAATTGATTATTGAAGCACTTTTCATTTGAGAAATCCAGTATATTTCTACTTGGATATGGCCTAGGCTTAGGCACTCGGGTGAGCAATATCACCGAAATTTCTTACTTGCAGTGGATGAATATGGGCCATGAGATTGGGCCTAGAATTATGCATCATAAACCAAAAATCCCACTGTTGTCTGTGTAAATTGCCCACTTTCATAGAAAACACGTGAATTATAAGTTCTTAATTCTTTTCGTTTACTGTTGATGGTTTACTAGTCATTTTAGTAAAAGTTCCTGGTCTCATTTAGCTTCGATTTCTTGCCCAGAGAATTCAAGTACAGAGATGCAGTGAGTTCCCCTTCAAAAACAATCTTCTAATATGGAATTCACTGCACCTAAGGCAAAATAGAGCAGTTGGAATGACATATGGTATCTTAAACAAAGATATAAACTATTCTTTCAATTATAACTGCTTGAGACCCTACCTCAGGATTCATCTCGCATTTATTAGGCATTACTGTATGTGTCCGAAGCCTTTCTGCTTGCTTTCCTTGGATAGTGATTTATTACAGGTGGCTAGAGCCGGGACAGCCAGGACAGGGCTGCTGGACTACACACTGCCTCATCACGAAAATACCCAGTTAAAAATCAAACTGCGGGTGCTCCGGCTGCCTCTCCAGGCCGGGGCCTGCGGTGGGACCTGTCCTGCAACTGCCACAAAGAGAATAACATAAATGGAAAAGCCACCCCTCGCGGAAGAGTGGGATCTCTTTATGTTTCCAAGCGACTAATGAAAAATTTCCTAAAGCTGTTTGTCCGCCCTGGCCTGCCCCGCTCAAACCTCCTCCTTGCCAGCATCCACCCTCCCCTTTTCCCCGGGTTTGGACACCTCCCCGGGAAAAACACCCGTAGGGGTGGCGGGAAGATGGGCGCGGAGGGAGCGGGAAAGGGGGGGAGACGGGCGCGCAAGGGGCAGGAGGGAAAGGGGGGACAAGGGCGATGAGGGGGCAGGAGGGAAACGGGGGACAAGGGCGATGAGGGGCAGGAGGGAAAGCGGGGAGACGGGCGCTGAGGGGGAACGAAGCCCCGGGATGGCGGCGCGAAGGAAGCCATGAGGGGCGGTGGGGTGGGCGCGGCAGAAGAAGCGGCGCCGGGGGACGGGACGCAGAGAGCGGGAAGAGAGCGGGAAGAGAGCGGGAAGAGAGCGGGAAGAGAGCGGGAAGAGAGCGGGAGGAAGGGGCGGCGGCGGGGGTGGCGCTCACAGCGGATGGTGTGGAAGGAGGCCTTGGGCCGTCGCTCAAAGCTCTCGCCCAGCTGCAGCGGGTGCTCCTCCTTGTCCAGCAGCGAGTTCGCCGAGCCGTTCATGGCCCCGCTCCCGGCCCGGCCGGTCCCTTCCCTTCCCTGCCCTCTCCGTGCGCTACCGCCCGACGTGCTCCCGGAAATTCTTGAGTTTCCCTTCCGGGAAAGCTCTCCGGGGCCGGCGGCGGGTGAGGCGAGGCGGGGGCGCGGGGCCGGGCTGGGGCTGCTCTGCCCGCGGAGGGTCCCGCGGAGGTGGGAGCACGGTGTTCCCCGCCCCCGGGAGGGGCTTTCCTTTCCTCCCCTGCCGGGGTATCAATCCCCCGGCCCCGCCGGCAGCTGCTGGCGGGGAGCTGTCCATGTGGCGGGGCCGGGGGATTACACGGAGGTTGTTACAAGTTTGCGGTCTTAGGGGTGGATTAAACACCTCTAAAAGGCTCTTTAGCCCAGGCGTAGGCTGTTGCAGCTGAGTTGGTCATCGCGCTGCCCTCCCACGGCGTTTTTTGAGCGCAATGGAAAGGCTGACTAGGATTTTTTTTGCCTCCCAGCTCGTTTTATGAAGAAATATGCAGCTTAATCTCCTCGGAGCATGAACATAGGCACGTAGTAGAAATATAGTAGAAATCTTGCTGATTAAGCTTGTTTGTTTGTTTTAAGAATATGCTCTTCTTGAAGAGACTTTCTTTCAAAGGGACTTCTTCTCTATAACCTGTTGTCTTTGGAGGAAAAAGGGAGCCTCTGTCTCCTGAGACGCTGGACAAAATTCTGACCGTTTTTTATTTCATTTGCACACTTCCATATTTTATGTTTGTATCATAACGTGTATATATTGTGACAACATCATATATAACATGTACACATCACGATACGTGATTTCTATCATATCACGTATTTTTGTCGCAAACAAAATACATAAGCGAAGTACTATTTTTTTTTTTTGCTGTAAGGTGGTTATAGTTCGTTTTTTCTCATTTCCACTTTGGTAAAATGACACCAGTGCCTGGTTCTGGGCACTGAGGCACAACTGGCACATTTTTGCTACCTGGGCTTCCCTGGGAGTTACCGGGCCTTGCAGGATTTAATTCACATGTGCCAGCACCCAGGATCTGCATGTTTGTGGCAAGGAAGAGGTGACAACTAGTTTAACATTAGAGAGAAAATATTTGGATCCCTTCCCAGCCTACGTAATGCTCTTTTTGTTGCTCTGTTTTTGTTAACTTCTGAAAATAAACCCACCTGTGATTGTTAAAACCAGCATGAATTCTCAGGAGGAGGCAGTAAAAAGGATGCTGACATGGGCCAGCTCTGGGTGTTTTGGCCACAGTACTGGTTTTGTTCTCTTGTTCAGATATGTGGTGTTATAAATGCTGGTGTTTTCACCATTTTTTCTCACAGAGGTGGAAGCAGGAAGGAGAAATGCTAACATGAATATACTCTGTTTCATCAATTTTAATGTGACTTTTGAATGTCATCTGTTTTTCAGTTATTATTTTTTTGAGGTCTTCCAACTGAGGCTAACAAGAAACAAAGCCCTTGCTTTCCTTCTAAGCTTAGAGCTGTACCATCTTTCTCTTCTTGAGTAGCTTTCTGGGATGCAGGGGGAAGACCAGCAGACTCTGAAGTATCTTTAATCAGTGTGATGATGTATATGCTTGTTAGTTTGGATAAAGGTTTTCTGAAATTAGGAGAAATCTGGTGGTATGTCAGTCCATCAGGTAGGACAGATCACTGTAAAATTGTTGTAAGTACATTCTGTAATTATTTATCATTTTTTCTTCTAGATACTCACTTATCTTACTTAAGTGATGGAACCATACACTAAAGAAAAAAAATCACCCTTGGATCTTTGGCATTCATATTTGTGTGAAAGAATCTAGGATGTTCCAAGAAAAGGCATCAGACAATTGCTTAAATGTAGTAACAACATCTACTGAAGATGGTGCTTTCCAAAAGAAAGGCCATAGTGCAAGAGTCCTTAGCCCAGAGGAAGCTGAGAGACTGGCAAAAGATCAGGTTTTGGTGTCTGAGTTCAAACAACTAAAACTGGAGAAAGAGGCACAGAAGAACTGGGATCTGTTTTACAAAAGAAACAGTACCAACTTCTTCAAAGATAGACATTGGACAACTAGAGAGTTTCAAGAGTTAAAAGCATGTCGTGAGGTGAGATTTATACACTTCTGCTGCAAAAGATGGAATTAAATGTTTCCAATCAGTTGTTTCCAAGTGAGTTAATAATACTTATAGCAAAGCTGTTTGGGTAAGAGCTGCCGAGTTTTCAATGCTCTGTGTAGTTTCTCTTAGTATCAAAGACAACTCCTGAAAATCACAAGCATCAGTTCACTTTCAATTTATAATTGATCCATGCTGGATGGGGATACTCTTCATAGCATATGGGATGCTAAGAACGAAGTCTGAAATATTTGTATTGTGTCCCAAATAGACAGCTTGTCTCTCTGTGATGGGATGTTTTCCGATGCAAGTTGGTGCACTTTCAGTACACTCCTTTAAAGAAAAGCATCCAGAATTGCAGGGTAATTGTAGAATGGAGTTAAGGGGAATAGTCAGCTGAATCTGTTGTTCCTCATAGCTCAATGAAAGACAAGACAGAAATGGTACAACAGTCTGTTGATTACTTAAGGGGTAGATGACTAAAGAAATATTAATATATTCTAGGAAGATTTCTGATTTTGCAGAAACCAAGTTGTCTGGGCTTTAGTGTCAGATTATTCTGTGGCTGTCTACTTTGGGGGGTTTTTGAATCAGTGGTAATTAAAATTGATTATAACTTTTAAAGTGGTCATTGAAGAGTGTAGTGCTCATGTAATGGGGAAAACAAAAATGATGTCCTTTATCTTGTATTGATTCTTCTCCAGTTTGCAGATCAGAAACTGACCGTTCTGGAAGCGGGCTGTGGGGTTGGGAACTGCTTGTTTCCACTCTTAGAAGAAGATCTGAATATTTTTGCATATGCCTGTGATTTCTCTCCTAGAGCTGTTGAGTATGTGAAGGTTGGTGTGATATCTGGAACTTCTTTTAGTATGTTTTTAGAAGCTTCTGAAATTGCAAATGAATGTAACAGGCGTCTCTTGCCTTCCTTTTTTTAAGAAGGGTAGAATATATTTTGCCAAAAAATGGAGACTGATCCATTTCAGTTGAGATCCTATCCAAGAAGTCAAATCATTGCTCAAGACCTCGCTTTTCAGCATCACATTGTAGTATTATGGTATATTACTTGAATAATTTATGAAGACTGTGTTTTTTGGGAGTACTACTATGTCTCTGCTGACTGTGCAGTACAAGCAAAATTTGTTTGCAAAGGAAACTTGCCCTTGATGGAGGGAGTCCCAAGGAGAACCTTAAAAACAGGGCTATGTAAGTTATTGTTAAAGAAATTTGTAGCCTGGTTAGGAGTAGGTGTGTTTATACTTATTCATGGGTAGATGGTACTGCAGTCCAAAGCTGAGACTTCCAGCAAGGCTGGCAGGAGCTTTGGGCTTTAAAAGTCTCCTAGTTTATTAAGTTTGTAGTCACAGGTAAATTTCTATATATCTGTTAATTGAAAGCATTGTCTTGTGGGATATTTGTGACCAAGAACCACAAGCAGCATGTCTCATGGGAACAACAGGAAGAAGTACATGTGGCAAACAAGAGAGGACAGCAGCTTCCTGGGATGCCATAGCTGCACCCCAAGATGACATTGGGCTGAGTGTGTACCCCAGGGGTTTGGATGACTTTGTGACATCTACCTCCACAGCTCTTGCTGATGTTATTTCTGGCCAAGACCAGGTTCCTTTTACCCAGCAGAACTGTGGGCTAGAACAGCCCAGCTGCAGGTTATGTGACAGGAACCCCAACTGTTCGCAGTCTACTTGTAGCTCAAGAGCTGTACTTCGATCACCCTGTAATATAGAATTTCTTTTAGTAGTATTTATGTATTTTTTAAAGAGTAGAAGCAGCGGTAAACCAGAAATGGTTAAGCTTTCTGAACTGTCTTAATGCACATTCCTTCTCAAACTCATGAGAACAGACTATTCTACTAGTTGTAGTTTCTCTATTGCAGTACACAGCAAAAATTTTCTGATCGCGTTAGTAGCCTATTGGAAGTTACTGTTCTTTTGCCGTGTTTCATGTTGCTGTATTGATTAGTTTCACAAGTTTTTTACTGTTTTTCAAGTAACAAATGCTACTAATTTTCAATGAAAGCTTACTGTTTTTATTTTCCTAGAAAAATGCCTTATATAGTACCGAAAGATGTAAAGTGTTCCAGTGCGATCTTACCAAAGATGATCTTCTAGACAATATACCAGCAGATTCAGTGGATGTTGTCACACTTATATTTGTCCTTTCTGCCATTCATCCTGACAAAATGAATCTTGTCTTGAAGAACATTTACAAGGTAGCACCAGCAGATTTTACAGCCTTTAAAGCACTTTCCTTCTTTTTAGCTCAAAAGTACTTTTTTTTTTTTTCTAAGCAAATAACCCCTCTTGTAATAATGATCTTTAATATTATATACCGTGGATGTTTTTAGTTAGTTCACTTAGTATACAGGACTAAAATATGTTTTATAATGTTTTTTTTCTCCTGGTATTGTGAGATTGTTTGGATTGAAGCCTAATCATGCTATCAATATAACAAAAATATATATAAAAGGCAGCCTTCTAGTATCTGAATGGTGCCTACAGGAAAGATGGAGAGAGAGTTTTTACAAGAGCATGTAGTGAGAGGACAAGGGGGAATGGCTTCAAACTGAAAGAGAGTAGGTTTAGATTAAATATTAGGAAGAATTTCTTTACTGTGGGGTTGGTGAGGCACTGGGACAGGTTCCCAGAGAAGTCGTGGATGCCCAGTCCCTGGAAATGTTCAAGACCAGGCTGGATGGGGCTCTGAACAACCTGGTCTAGTGGAAGGTGTCCCTGCCCATGGCAGTGGGGTTGGAACTAGGTGATCTTTCAGGTCCTTTCCAACCCAGGCCATTCTATGATTTGACGATTTTAAAGCTGCGACTTGGGTTGCATGCTACAAATAATGTTTATAGATTGCAGAGATGTCTGTGTTGATAAGGTGTGAATGATAGTGAGTCAAAATTGACTTCCAGGCATACAGTGACTTGGAGTTAGGATGATGCTGTTATTAATAAACACACTTGATCTCTGCTGATTTAAAATTGGAGTGTTCAGAGGTAAACATTAATCTAGAGCGACTCATCTCCGTAGGCTACCTTTGTTAGTTGACAGACTAGGATAGGCCCATCCAAGGAGTGGTTTGAACAATATGAGTAGTGATTGTTCTGATTTTTCTGTGATGTCATATATTGACTGCAGAGGGAAACAGCCAATATATTTTGTACTTATGCATACATGTAAAAGTTTTATGTTATCTGATATTGTTTGTTTTATTATCAGTAGTCTGAAGAGGGAATGTTAGGGTTTTTTGGTATATTTCCAGCTGTTTTCCAAAAGCAGGATTGATTCTTAGCTCGTGCTTGTGAAAAGGCTAATTATTATTTTCTCTGTGGAGATGCCTGGATCATTTAAGTCACTTGCGGGTTTCTGCACTAATTGGCAAGTGGCAAGTACTCCTTTCCTCCTCTAACAAATACAGCTGGTATTTGATGACAGCATGTCATGTAGGAAAGTTGCATGCATCAAATATCTAAAATCAGCATGGCCAATGACCATGTATTTCTAAGTTTTAAACTCTTTATGGCCTGTTTCCTTTGATAAAGACCAAATAAAAAAAACCGCAAAACAACAAAAATCCACAATCCATTTTATTGAAATAGTTCCTTATTTACTTCTTAATATATTGCAAACGTTTTCTTAAAGCATGTATGTATTATGTGACAGGTATTAAAACCAGGCAAGTGTGTCTTGTTCCGAGACTATGGAATGTATGATCATGCAATGCTCAGGTTTAAATCCGGCAGCAAACTTGGAGAAAACTTTTATGTTAGACAAGATGGGACAAGATCATATTTTTTTACTGAAGGTAAGACATACTGTAGAGTGCTTTCTTTTCTGTGAATCTTCTGTTTAAACTTGCATCAGGGAACTGCCAACATGGCCCTGGAAGTTTTGTTTTATGCAAACGAACTGTTAAATTGTGGTTTATTTCGTTTACCATCCTTTTTGGAAACAAGAGGGTATTTAGACTGGCAGGACTTTATGGAGCACTTTCTTGTTTACGAGCTTGTTGTATGTGCTATAATGTGCCAAGAGCAGCAGTTTCTGAATTTGCTGAATTTCATTCGGATTTGTTAGCTGAGGGAAAAAGACCAATGTTCAGTCAGACAATTGATAATCTTCATGAAGCAACTAAGCAGTTCTCTTGACATCATTTTTTGTGCAAGACTATTCCTGGTGTGCAAAAGGAGGCCTATTGAAGAAGCCATTGATTTCTAAAGCAGAACCATGACTACAGTGCTGATAAGCTTGTGCACAAATCCCACTGGGCTGGCAGTGACTTGCTGTGGTCACTCTGTCTTCTGTTTTTTTTTTTTTTTTTTTTTCCAGTAAAGATGGTGCAAAAAACATTTCCATGTGATACAGTATATAAAGTTTTTAATACAGTGCTCATAATGGTTTAGGAAGGAAGGAAATTATTGCAGTTTACTAGTGAAGAATGTGAAGCAGAGAGACATGAAGGAATTTGCTTAGACTTTCAAAATGAGTTGAGATTACAGTTTGGCTATAGCTTCTAACTCCCAGTTCCTCAGGCTAAACTCGTTATTCCCCCCATCAGTTGTAGAGCATTGTGTGATAAGAGCTATGAGTTTATATCTGTGGAGCTTTGTTCTTAGTCTAAAGCAAAATATAGACACTGAAGAGACCAACTTGGAGCCAAGTAAGTTATTCATATTTTATGCCATAACATATTACCTAATTGCTTCTGATATATAAAAACCATTAATCTTATCTGAGCTCTCTCTATCCTTCACAGGACAATGATGAAATCTAAGATAATGCAGGCTGTGCTACAGCTTCATTGAAGCATTTCTAGAACTGATATTTATTAAGTGATTTTTAGTTCTGTTTAAACAATTAGCTCTTGCAAAGAGAATGGATGCTAAAGGGAACAAATAGGAGACTGACCTAGCTGTGGAATTTTAAATCCCATTTTTATTGTGTGTTAGAATTGTTTCTGAATGACAAATTCCTCTCCAATATGCATGTTTCCATTGGTGGAAGAATTGAGGTAAGGAGGAGGAAGAGGAAGGAAAGAGAAAAGAGAATTTATTTTATCTCGCTCACGTTAGTAATTGTTTTTCCTTGGGCTGGTCTGTGACTGTCTCACAGATCCTCTCTGCTCCCATTTTTAATCATTATGATCTCATTCATCTCACAAAGTTTCATATAAATATTGCTTAATGCTTGAGAATTCTTTTGTTACTGGGGACATGACTCCCACCAATTCTGCACAGGTTGCAACCCATGCTATTTGTCATTTGTTTGGTACTACACTGGTACACCAAGTAATTGCTGCATAGGATGATTTGAATGATGCTTTTTATAATATGTCTGGTATCAGATAACAACACTGAACTTCTTCCAAGGAAAAAAACCTCCATTCTTCTCTTACTGTTTGAAATAATTATTAAATTTGTGGAGGAATGCGTGGTTGTAATTTTGTGTTATGAAATATGTTCAGCTTCCTTACAATGAGATTTCAATAGGTCCACAATTAAGTGCTGCTTATTTATATTTCATCAATGTGGGTCCTCCATTTTACATGAACACACTTTGTTTACAACAACCAGTGTGTGTGGCTTCATGGTGGGCTTAGGTTGATACAAGCCTGCAGTACCACCAAAGTGGGTGGTCTCATCTTCCTCAATACACCATCTCTTCAAGTGCTTCCTGTACCCACAAGATCAGCGTTTCATCGAGCTAATCCCCCTGAGCAATGGAAAATGGCACGTCTTTGTTTTCTGTCAAGGAGCACAAGTTTAGAAATGGCTTAAATTTACTGTGAAATTACTGCCTGAGTGAGTGAAATAAGGTGCGGGAAAGGAAAAATTATGATTTTTAATTAACATGACAAGTCAATAGCATAAGCAGCCCTCCCTGCTGCATAGTTCAGCCTGTTTGTGAGGTACTTCTGCCTTCTTTAAGGGAGATATGCTTTGAGTAAAATTCTTTTGTTTATGGAAAATACTTTCAGTTGGACTTAGTGGAGGCTTGATATCACCATATTCCCTTTGCCACTTTGTCAGTTTTTCTGTTGAGCAATGGCATGTAATGTAGTGTGATGTTCTTCCCCAAGCAGAGATGCAAGACTGGATTACCTTTGAAGTATTTGCAATGAGTGATGTGTTTAGCTAGCGAAGGTCAGCTGCACAAAGTAAAAATGCACTGGCATCAGTCACAATCAGAATGACAAGGCTCAATAAAAATAAGAGATGTGGCAATTTTTGGAAAATCAACTGAGTAACTAGCTTAAGCCCCAGTTTTACAAGCTGTTTTGCTTAAGTTGATGTTTCTAAAGGAGATCTGTATTGATTTTTATTCAGCAGTCTGCCTGCATAGAACAGCTTGAAATCTGAAGGCCTGTGTGATTTTCAGGCTGTAACAGAGAAGAACATATGCTTATATAAATGCTGTCTGGTGTTTTAAAAATAGCTTAAACATAATATGTCATCTTTTTTTTTTTTCCCAATTCTCTTCCAGAGTTCTTATCTCAGCTTTTCAAGGCTGAGGGATATGAGCAAGTGGTCAATGAATATGTGCAGCGAGAAACTGTGAATAGGAAAGAAGACTTACGTGTTCCAAGAGTTTTTCTTCAAGGCAAATTTCAAAAGCCTTTCAGTAAGACATAAGTTCTTGCTGATTAGCAACAGCATTACTTGTTTGAAATTGAAGCTAGCATATAGCCTCATGTGTGCTCATCTTTCTAGTAAACCAGAAATGACTGCATCCAGTGCCTCCTGTTGGTTTCTGTCCTCAGCTACAAAATAAGAATGCTATTTCTAATTCACTTTTAAGATGGTTTACTGATGCAGGCAACCTGTTGAGCGCCTGTATTCCTACTTCTAAAGTAAAACCTGTGCAACACTGTTGGAGAATCAGGTAAAGCACACTAAAGATGGTTAATTTTATGCATTAGCTTCCACTAGTTTTCATAACTGTTATTTTAATTTTTATTAAAAACTATTTTTTAAATAAATATCCTATGTTTCCTATCACTTGTGTTTTTTGGGCCTTATTAAAGTTACAATATTTCACCTACTTTCAGTACTTGTAGGACTTACAGGAATGAAACAGACTCAGTGAGCAGTATAATGGAAGATGCTTTGGTATTTTAATAATGGTATCTTTTTAATATGCTTAGCATTTAGAGATGTAAAAAAATGTTTACATTCTAAATAAGATCCTAATTTTTCTGATTTCATGCTTGAAGAAGCGTGTTAGTAGATCAGGCTGTCTGTATCCCTTATTAATTTCAGATGTTCTTCGTTTGATTAGCAGAAATAGTTGAGGTTTTGCAAGTCAGTTCCCCATTTGGAACTGAAATCAGAAAGTCAGGAGTGCTTTCTTTCATATGCATTGTTGTCAGCTGCTTCTTTCCTGAGCAGAGGTCTTAATTCTTTTCCATCACTCTAAGGAAAGTTGTGTTGGTCTTTGCTCTTCCTACCACTAAAAACCACTGTGTTGTTGCTATAGCTCATAGCCTGCCACAGATTTAACTGCTTGAAGGAACTTCATCCTTTCCTTTCAGCAGCTGTGGCACTTTGCACTGCAGGACCTTTTCTGTGTTCTTGAATGATATAATTTCAAAAACATGCTTGGATCTTTAACCTGCATTTAACTCTGCAGCAGAGGAAGCTCAGAAGTATCCGGTGACTTGTGCAATGTCCTGTGCTGACCTTGTATAATGTGTAGACAAGTTGCAACAAGGGAAAACTCCAATGCAATACTAAGACTTTGTGTGTGTGTGTGTGTGTGTGTGTGTGTGTGTGTGTAAAGGGAGGTTAAATACTGAGACAGGGTCCAAAGAGGTTGTAGTCATTCTTGGAAATACTTGGAAGTAGACTGGGCAAGGCCTTGAGCATTCTGTGACTTTGAGGGTGGCCCTATTCTGAGTAGGGATTTCATTTCTTGCAGTACATATGTGATTGATTGACTCAGGCTGTCATTCCACTGGATTTGGGTGTTGCTAGATGACCCAGTCATACACATCTGATGCGGTCCAGAGGTTACTATTTGCCTCTGTTTATGACAAAGTAGCCATAAGGTATGTTAATGATTTTCTTTTCCAGCACTCTTAACACTGGCTGTATGTGTATGGAAGGAAAGAAGTAGTAATTTTCCAGCCTAAAGCTTAATGTTAAAAAGTTAACCAGTCAAAATTTTTATAACGAATTGGAGCTGCCAGAGGTCTTATTGAGTTGGTATGCTTACAAATAAACTTGCAAGAGATCATTGCTTTGCATCAGGACACCACAGTTTTTTGGTTTGTTTTTGTTTGATACCATGAGCCCCAAAGCTGAATTTATTGTGTCACAAATCTTTGGTCTCACAGGAAAAAATACTTAAATCACACAATTCTCCTAATGACTCTTTGAGGAGAGTTATTACATGTCATCTTTTTTTATGGAGAGTATTATACTGGAGATTTATGCATTGCTGACCTCTGCTGCACAATCCATTAGCCCTTTCTGCCATGCTAGTAATAAATATCAAACTAGTAACATTTATAGTAAATGAAAAACTATGTTAAAAAGGAGTATAACAATGATACCTTTATTCTAATCTGAACAATCATAATTTTGTGGCTTCCCTTAGCAAATGTTCATCTTTAGTACAGCAGTTCTCTCAAAGATTACGTGTAGTCTGAGATCTCTTGATATTTGGGTTGGTTTAAACCCTGTAATATCAAATGCCTTTCAGGACTGGAGTTTTGGTCCTTTTGGAGTACACAGCACATAAATGAGACTGAAGGACGAGCCTTGTGTGGTGCTCGTCAGCATATGCAAAGGCAGGTGCACTGAACTGTTCATCCCAGAAAGGAAATGAGATGTAGGCAAGTATCAAAAATATTGATCAGGAGACTTGAGTCAACCCCATAGGCTTAGCTGCAGACATCCACTGACCATTTTTACACTGAGCTATTGAACAATAGAACAATATTGAACGATATAGAATATTGAACACAGAACAATAATATACCTTTTTGTGTGTGGCTGTCGCTTTGGTGTTTCTGTGTTTTTCTGCTTGAGGAACTACTGACGCTTTTTGTGTAGCAATATGTTAAGTGGAGAGCAGTATTTCTAATTTTTTATTATTCCTCATTCTGTCTCATTTCCAGTCAGACATGGAACATAAAGTAGCATGCATTAGAGCCCCTGCCAGAAAGGCCTTCAGCTATAGTTCTCATAAAGCAGATGTTATTTTGAGATGACTGGTCAGAAAGCTTAACTTGGTCTCTATGACTCTGCTTCTGTGAACTCTAAATCATTACAAGTTTTTTGTAACTGTGATGAAGTTTGGAGAAGTTGAGTCATCTTTAAGCAATCCTTGCCTCATCATGTGAGACACGGTAACTGGTAGGGTGCATGTGGCTGTTGTAATGCTGAGTAAAGTAGATATACTCCCCCCAACTCTTCAGCCTTTCCAAGCTCATGTAAGCTCACCAGTAGCACATGCCAAAGATATGTGTACCTAGTGTCCTTCCTTGAAGAAACTAGTGATAGCATGAGGACTAACGGGTTCAAACTGAAAAAGGGAGAATTCAGTTTAGATGTATGGAAGAAATTCTATACTGTGAGGGTGGTGAAACACTGGAACAGGTTGCCTGAAGAAGGTGTGGATACCCTATCTGTGACAGTGTTCAAGGCCAGGTTAGATGGGTCTCTGAGCAACTTGGTCTCATGGAAGGTGTCTCTACCCATGGCAGGGGGGTTGGAACTAGATGATCTTTAAGGTTCCTACCAGTCCAAGTCATTCTATGATTCTATGACTCTGTGAAGATCTGTCCTTAGAGAGATGTAGTAATCAGGAAAAATTGTGTTCAAATGACTTGAAAAAAGCATACATGTACTGAATCATGCTCACCATGCACAAACAAGCTACTATGCGGTGATTGTAATAAATGTTTTGATTATTCTTTGATTTAAGTTGTCTTTAATCAATGGAGACTGCTGAGACTGACTCAGTTTTCTGTAGAAGACCTGTCTTTTGTTTCCTTTAAACTGAGCTAGCTGCTGTATCTGGCAAGCATAAGTAGTAAGTTCCTTTATGCCATCACTCTGGTCTGAGCAATATTTAAAATAGATGGAAATAATTGTTGAAGTAGTGGGACTAAGAAAACCCCATTTAAAAAAATTTTTTCTTGTGATTTGGTGCACTGTGATTAAAAACTCTGATGTTTAATAAAGTAGGCACTTGGGCTAATGCTTTTCCTGCAGTTAGGGAATCCTAAATGCCACTTTTTGGTGGGTATTCTCTGATATCTCCTACTAGAACTGGACAGCGTGTATTAAGGGATGATGTTAATGGGCAGTGCCTCAGTGAGGACATGACTATGGAGTGTCTATTGGCTATTTTCATCAAATTTACAGAAGGGTGAAATTTTGAGTCATCTGACATTTACTGTTCTGTCAAATTTGTTTGATATCATCCAGTGTCTTTGACAACAAGATACGACCGGACAGAAATCCACACAGGTATTGTACCTAAACTGTATGCATGGATAATCTTTCTTTCCTTAAAAATATGCACCACTTAGAATAAACCATTTGAACATTAAAGCAATGGTATCAGAGCAGATTTTATGTGGTTCATTTGATAGCTAAAAGGCTATTTCTGTGCATTTTTCAGGTACCTGAAGGTTCCTTGGGTTGCAAAGGCCGAATATTTAAGCAGTTAGTACAACACTATAGCCATGGTTGACTGTGCATCATTTCTATGAAACCAAGTGCTATAAAAGTGGGACCTGAAACTCCAGCACCTATAAACATCAGCAGTCAACTGTAAAACATGCAGCCTTGGTCTTGTAGGTGAATACTGGTATATGAAATCTGAAAGGTCATTTATATTGTAATTTTTTTTTGCTTGATCTGTTGTATGGTTTATACATCTGAATATATTGAGAGATACAAATTACCAGTTAGGAAGTGTTTTATGGAAGAGTCGTTTGAAAGATACATATATTTGGAGAAGATATTGGTGTTGAGTATCAGTATGTGAAGGAAAAAAGTTAAGATTATGTTTAAGTTACTGGGGAAAAAAGCATTTCCTGAGTTTCACAGACCAGCGATGATGTACAATTAAATGTATTGTTCATCTGAAAAGTGCAACTTTGGAAATGAAAGCCTGCAGCTTCCAAAATCAGACTAATGTTACAGGGAGGCAGAAAGATGGCCTCAAATTGTGTGTGATATCAGTAATACATTCAAGACTCTGTGCGAAGCAGAATTTTATATTGGAAAGATATTGTCGAGATACGATTAGTGAAAATAGGTAAGTGTTTGTTTATGGATTTTTACCTCCCATAGTATAGCTATGAAGAATTTTTCACTGGTTATGCTTGTTATTAGGAATGATTGTGAGCCATTTCAAATGCTTGGGAGCAAACATTTATTAGTTATACATTTTGCAAAAACATCTGGCCCTTGGGTGCAGTAGGTTCAGGATATGATTATGTTTGCTCTCTGTGTTTGTAATGTGAGTTCATTTACTAGAACAAAGGCAGATGGGGAGCCTACACCGTGGGGAGGCACACAGAGGCATTGCTTGCAAAAATAAAAGTTATTAGTCAGGTAAGATGTTCCATTAGAGAACCTTTTTCATTTCCACCTCCTGGGCTCATATGCAGCAGGGAGAAAATACTGGTGCTGTGAAATCAGGGAAGGCAAGGGCTCAAGAAAAAGAACGTGATTCTTCCAAACGAAAACTGATTTTGTGTACCTCTACTTAAATGATTCTGTTTGGGAACGTTCAGTCTCTTTTCCAGCAAGTCTTAGACCTCATCCTTGGAAAATTTGATCGCTTTTGAAGGTCTTTGCCAAAGACACAGGTTTAACTTACATGCTTGTAGAATATATAAAGTGCATGCTTGTAGAATATATGAAGTGAAATATTAAAAAAGGTAGCTGTGTGACTGAAAATATAAATCCAGATTTGTTTTTCTCCCTTGCCTTGTGAGAAGCTTTATGCTTCACTGTCACTTCAGTGCTTTTTCAGAGTTCCTGCTCTGGGATGCTGTGCTGTCTTGCCCTTGTTTAAGCTATATACACCATATTGACTACAGCTCAGGTTTCTGATGCCTGTAGTATCCTGAGAAATTAGAGTGGAAATAACTGAGGGTAGTTGCAGGGAAAAATCAGAAAGTAGGCAAGGCACTACTGAAGACAAGCCTACCTACTGTCTGTGCTCTACTCAGTATTTTTCTATGCTCCATTTCTCTTGGATTTCTGTACTAAATTTTGAACAGCAGAGAAGCTGCTATTCAATGGGGTAATGATCTTCATACATATGGGATTGCTGTGCATCTGAAATTCAAGGAATTTTGTGAACTTTGTTTTCTTTTTTCTAATTTTGGCTTTAAGCTTGTATCTGAAATCTAACATTTAATTGGAATTTTTATCATCTAATAGATGATAAAAATCTTTTTCCTTTAAATGTAACAAACCTGTTGCTGTTTTGCTAAAACCAGAGTATTCAAAAGCAGGATGGAAGAAGATGGGAGGGAAGGAAATGAGACTTTTCTGTACAAATAACATAAATGTTCTGATCTATTTGTTTTATTAGCAAAACAAATTTCATAGGAACATGAAAATACTTTGAAGAAGCCACTAAACCATTGCCACTAATTTTTTCTAAACTACCTTCAGAAAGATAGTTCTACAAGCTTGTGCAACTTTTTAGACTTAGCCATGACCAGCTGGCTGAAGTATCTGATCACAGACTTCACCTTCAATATTTGAGGGTGCTCTGTTGTGTCCTTTAGGATCTGGCCTCAGGGAACATCCCACTTGTAACCTCTTATCTGGATGAAGGTGAGCCACTTATTGGAAGTTGAATATGCAGATGTTCATGACTTTCCACCCAATAAAGTAGCACCCTCTTTGCTTCACCGTGTAGGCCACTAAAGACTTTTAGTAGTTCTGGATCAGCTTCCAGTAACAATTTCAGGTTGGGGTTTTGATTTTGAAGGCAACTAATAAATTAAAGGTCAACAACTGTCTGTATATGCTTGACCTGTACTTGTCTGGGACACAGTGGCCAAGAGAAAGTCTGTTAAAAATAAAACTCACAAGATAGGAGAACCCATCTCAAAGTAAACTGAAATAATCAAACTGATAGATTCAAAATGTATTTTAGAAATACTGAAAAATCCTCTCCTTACAGACTTTCCTCTACACAAAATACTAACCTGCCCTGTTACTTAAAAGTTCCTTCCAAGCCACTAAATAAAGGCTTTAAAAAAACCCCATAACTGAACCTTAAAGGAAAAGGAAATATTACAAACAGACTGTCCAGTGTTAACCACGTACATCTCTTAAAGTAGGGCAGTGGTGTTCTCAAAAGCCCACTGAAGAGAGGGTAAGCTTGTCAACTGGTGCTGGTACAGAGAGCTTTTACTTTGATTCCATAATGCACAGTTTATACTTCATTTGTACAGGTTTCTTTATGGGAACTCTTTGCCTGATTCAGTCACCGATAGTAGATTGGCAAGATAGAATGAATTTGCAGTTAGAACCAATTCTAGGATGTATTACTACTTCTGTAAAATAAAAGACTTCTTGTGAATGAGTGATGAAGGAGCAAGACTGTTTTGTCAATGCTTGCAGCAATGTGGTTTGTTCATGTGCCAGGCTACCTTATTGTTTGGCAGGAAATTCAATGTCAGGCAGCATTTTGTAGTACTGTAATAAAAATCAAGAAATGAATATCCCTTAAAATAAAATAAAATAAACCCAAAAATCAGCTTTCAAAAATTTAAAGAGAGGAGCTTGAATGTGCTTAGCATGCTCAAACAGCATTCAACTAAAACTGTAGCTGCAACATTGTCATTATTCATGTTTAAATACTAAACAAAGCTGTATCATCACATTAACAGACAGTTACAGTACTGCTACCTGTGCTGCAAGACCATTTGAGTGTCCCTGGATCAAAGTCTGGCATGTGTTGAATATTACAGGAGGTGGAAAGAAATACAGATTGCTGAAATGGTAGATTGTATAGGACTACAGAAGAGCCTCGAAAACCAGGGTGAATGGAACCCAAATGCTAAGTTTAACATATGGCATCTTTCAAAGAGATTCTTTTGAACAAACCCCTTTAAAAATATTCACTACATGCTTGTTGTGGTAATCCTTGTCTGGAAATCCTTGAGTGGGACAGCATTTTTCTGGGTGCTGTAGACACAGAGAGTGAGACAATCCCTGTCCTAAAGATTGTAACTATTCAGTTATGCAAGATGGGTAAGAAGACAAAGGAAGGACATCCCACTTGTGGTAAAACACAGAGATTAATATTTCCCTACTTCAAATTTAAATTACTGTGAAAATGGGACTGTAGAAATGATTTACCGTATCTTGGTTCAGTATCTAACTAGCAAGCTATCTTGATGCAGAGTGGATCATCTATTAATGAGAGATACTAGCTCTGATGAAGGAAAACATGGTTCCTGAATGTCTCGTCACTGCCATTTGACAAGAGTACCATTCCCAACCCTGCCATTGGTTTCCTGGGTGACTTCAAACCTGTACTCTCACTTTCTGCCCCATGGGGAAAAATGAAGGATCTTGGAGTGAAAAACGGAAGAATCATAGAATTGTTTAGGTTGAAAAAAACCCCTTAAGATCATCTAGTCCAACTGTTTACCCAGCACCAAACCATGTCCCTAAGTTTCATATTTACAGGTCTCCTAGCAGTGGTGACTCCACCACTTCCCTAAGCAGCCTGGTCCGGTGCTTAACAACCCTTTTGGTGAAGAAATTTTTCCTCATATCCAATCTAAACCTCCCCTGGCACAATTTGAGGCCAGCTCCTCTAGTCCTGTTGCTTTTGTTACTTGAGAGAAGAGGCCGACACCCACTTTACTACAGCCTCCTTTCTGGTAGTTGTAGAGATCACTAAGGTCTCCCCTGAGCCTTCCCTCCTCCAGGCTGAACAACCCCAGCTCCCTCAGATGCTCCTCACAGGACTTGTGCTCCAGACCCTTCACCAGCTTTGTTGCCCTTCTCTGGACTTGCTTCAGTATCCTAATGTATTTTTTGGAGGCCCAAACAGTACTCAAGGTGCAGCCTCACCAGTGCTGAGTACAGGGGAATGATCACTTGCCTAGTCCTGCTGGCTACACAGATGTAGTAGGTCACTGATGATTTCCTCTTGGATTATGAGATCTTCATTCTGCTCCCTGTCCCTGTCTTCCAACTGAGTGGGTACTTGGAGAGCAGCTACTCTTACTATTAAAGACTGAGGCAAAGGCAACATTGAGTACCTCAGCCTTTTCTTTATCCTTTGTCACTATGTTTCCTCCTGCATCCAGTAAAGGATGGAGATTCTTCTTAGTCCTGTGTTTGCTGCTAATGTACTTACAGAAACATTTTTATTGTCTTTTACAGTAGCAGCCAGATTAAGTTCTAGTTGGGCTTTGACCCTTTTAATTTTCTACCTGGATAACCTCAAGACACCCTTGTAGTCTGCTTGAGTGGCCTGACCCTTTATCCAAAGTTCATAAACTCTTTTTTTTCCTCAGATCCAGCTAAAGCTCTCTGTTCAGCCAGTCTGGTATTCTTCCCCACCAGCTTGTCTTTGGGCATGTGAGGACAGCCTGCACCTGCAGCTTTAGGATTTCCTTCAAGCATGTCTAACCTTCCTGGTCTGCTTTGCCCTTCAGGACTGCCTTCCAAGGGACTCTATTAACCAGTCTCCTAAACAGACCAAAATCTGCCCTTTGGAAATCCCAGGTAGTCATTCTGCTGATCTCCATCCTTACTTATCTGAGAATCAAAAACTCTATCATTTTGTGATCACTGTGCCCAACACAGCCTCCAACCACCACATACCTACCTGTTCACAAACAGGTCCAATGGATGCATTCCCTAGTTGGCTCACTCACCAGCTATGTCACGAAGTTATTTTCCACACACTCCATGAACCTCCTAGGCTGCTTCCTCTCCGCTGTGTTGTATTTCCAGCAGACATCTGGTAAGCTGAAGTCCCCCCACAAGAAATGGTACATAAGAAACCAGGAGCAATATTTGGTGTGAGTTCTAATTCTTCTTATTTTCCTGCTACTATTACCACCGAGTCTTCAAAGTCTAGGAGATGAAGAGTTAACCACAATGGATTCTTGAAAAGGAAAGGATTGGGTACAAAAGCAAAACTGGAAGTACTTTCCCAGATCGGAAAAGGACATGATAAAAGGCTCCTTCTGTCAAAGTCAAGGGGAGAAGTTCATCTGACTTCCTTGAGAGCTGTTTGCAGATCTGAGATGGCAAAGGGACTCACACTTTAGAATGGGAAATCTAACGCACCCCTCTTCTTGATGACCCTTGAAAAGAGGATCCACTGATACAACCGAATCTGATCATAAAAATTGATGAAGTAGGTACTCAAAATCCATGAGATGGAGTGAGTCAGGGGGAGAGGAGGTGGGCAGGGAGAAAAAGATATAGAAGTGCCTTGATAAGGGATACAAAATAATTTTGTATTGTATTGGATTTTGTATTGGATTTAGTGGAAGAGTTTCAGTTATAATTGCATAGTGCCAGTAGCAGACACTGTAATAAAAATTGTTAGAGAAGCGTCAGTGTTGCTCTCTCCTGATCTCTCCTGTTTTTCATGTCTGCTCCTGGTCAGAACACTGCAAATCCAACTCTTGTGAGGTCCATAGGGAGGTTGGAGAGTCGGTGACCCCTGTGTTTGGCAGCCTGATGGATTTGTAGCATGAACTCCTTTATATTCAATAGTTTTAGTGCAACAGTCTTCTGCTGTTTGATGGTGCAGATGAAACAGAGGTTTTAAAAAGAAACTGACCAAAAAAAGGAAGGAAGCTTGGTCTGTCAGTGTTGGTTAGCAAAGTCTGCAGCTGACATGATGTGCACTTCTTGAGTGAGAGTAACATTAGGTATTGTTTGCAATGCAGTGAGAAGGAATAGCTTCTCCTCCCATCAGCTGTACTGTAAAGTATGTATCTTCTTTATAGACTGTCTCTACTTTATCAAGCTCTTGTCTGGCCTGGTTGGAGGCTTAGTCTCATGTTTTATTCCTAAATATGGAGCTCTTATCATGAAGTTACTTTTAGTACAAAAGTTGGATTTCTTTTTTCTGTACTCTGCTGCATAGGTACAGTTAGGCTAAAAGGGTGAGGGAAGGGTGTTTGGGATTTTGTTCACAAGATGGCACTAGCCACTAAGCAGTGCTACATTCCTTTTTAATCCCAGCACTGAATTAGCTAAATCTTTAACAGGGTGGTGGGAAGAGCTGGTAATGATTAACTATAGACAAGACAACTAGAGTCTTTCCTTATATGCATCAAAGGCATCTTTTTGTCTACTTTAATAGGTCTTGGATATCAAAGAAAGAAAATCCGTTTGTTTTTAAATAAAATATAATTGTACCTCAGAGTTAATTGTTATTTAGAGGGAATGTTCTTGGCACAATGTGAAGGAGTGTAAGGTGAAATAATATTTCTGTTGATGGTGGCTGAGATTCTGATTGTCTTTACCCATGAGGCAATAATTTGTTGCATTGACCACTTGCTGTTTGTTTAATTTGAGTATCACTAAATTGTTACCTTAGAAACTGCAGTGACTTATACAGATTTCAAAATGTGGTGCCTTAATACAATATTTCTTTAGCTCCTCAAAAATATTAGACAAATTTCTGTTTATATTACCTGCTCCCATTTTCTTCCCGCTTCATTTGTTGTTTTATAGATGAGCTGCTCTCCAGTTGAACAGCCATTCAAGCAGAGATGCATAAGATGCACATGACCAGAGAGGCTGCGTCTCTCTCATTAATTACTGTGAAGTCAGCTGTAGTTTACATTGCCATTTTACAGTTTTTTCTGCTTTAGTAATCCCCATTTTGTCTCCAGCAAGCCCTTCTCATTTCAAGGGAAAGAGGGAGAATAGAATAAAGTTACATTTTAATCTTGCTGGCTTTATATCTATGTAACACACTATGGTGTGTTCAGTATAATCCATTACTGCTAATAAGCTATGTGTAAAATTGCCTCAGCTGCATTTTATGCAACAGTAATTCTTTCAGATATTAAATATTTGAATTAGTGTAAATGATAAGTAGCTGCCAGTGCAGAAACTGATTTGTAAGAACATAGCTCCTCTCCTTGCTGTTCTTACCCTTTCCCTTTTCTTTATTTAGGACTGGCTCATCCTTTCCTTTTGCTTGAGTGGGACCTGCCAACTCCAGAATAAGTGACTTCATGGAAAGGCTTCTATGAATGAAATCTGTAACCAAGCAAAGTGCAGAGGCTGTATGCAAGTCCTTCCTTCCCAGCAACTGGATGATAGGCAGAAATGGAACAGACTGAGAGCTGCTTTTTCCTACTTCCCAAGACAGTGGTGAGTGGGACTAGTGGGTGTGTTCAACCCAGAAGTGTCACAAAGGACTTTCTTTCCATGGGCAGCCCTTCAGGCATAGTTCTTTCCTGGCCCAACTCCAAGTGGTATGTCTATCTACTAAATCTTCTTGTAGGCTTTCTTGCCCAGAGCCACCTTATTTGTTATCAGGGGCCTGATTCTACAAAATGCTGAGTTGTGCCATAAGTTTCTACTGAC